TAGGAAGTGGAATAAGTGGATTAGGGAGTGCTTACGTACTTGCAAATCAAGGAGTTAAAGAAGTTGTGTTGTACGAGAAAGAAGAGTCATTAGGAGGTCATGCTAAAACGGTGCGTTTTGATGGCGTTGACTTGGATCTTGGTTTCATGGTCTTTAATCGTGTACGTATTCCTTTCCCTTTCGCTCATTTTTTTTTTCACAGAAATAAATAGTTTATGATAAAGTTATATACATCTGGAATTTTCTTTATTTCGTGAAAAAATGTGATGATAATTGAAGCTTTTTGCCTTTTCCTGTTCACTTTGGTCCACAAATGGACCATACCTTGTGTTGTGTTTTGGTTTCAATGTATATTATAAACTTTTTTTATTTGCTGCCAAATTTATGTTTTACTTTGCCTTCTAAGGTTTTGTATACACAGAACTTGGATTATTTTTAATATCTGTCCAAATCTAGCTATTGGAATTCTATTGAGAGTTTTAGAGTTTGGTGTTTCTTTTAATTAAGTCAAACATATTGTTGTTGTTAGAAGAATGTCAAACGTATAGTTTTCGAAATAACTGTTCTCGTACGACGATCAGACCCTACATGGTGGTATTCAAATAAAGACCAACTATGAATTTTGACTGATATGATGTTTTTATGTACGACTGTGAAACTATATATGATTCGTTTTATATATGACATGAAAATGATAGAACAACTCATTATCATCTTGTGACTATTCAAACTTTCCAAAATAGATTTTTATCGATTGGTAGAAGTTTCATAATTTATTGATCAATTAGTTGTGGTAAAATAGTTTTATGAATTGTCGAATTGTGCACAAATGATTCATATTACACAAAAAATAGTCTTAAAATGTTATGAGATTCAATGTAAGAATCCAAATATTCAAAACTTCATTTATAGATTGAGTATGTATTGTTCCTAGCTCGACCTTATGGATATTGATCATACATTAATATGTTGATAGGTTACATATCCAAACATGATGGAGTTCTTCGAGAACCTTGGAGTAGACATGGAGGTTTCAGACATGTCTTTCGCAGTGAGCCTTGACAATGGCAAAGGTTGTGAATGGGGAAGCCGCAACGGTGTCTCGGGCTTATTTGCTCAGAAGAAGAACGTTTTAAATCCGTATTTCTGGCAAATGATCAGAGAAATTGTTAGATTTAAAGAAGACGTTTTAAAATACATCGAGGAGCTTGAGGGTAACCCCGATATTGATCGAAAGGAAACCTTAGGAGAATTCCTCAATGCTCGCGGATACTCTGAGTTGTTTCAGAAAGCTTACTTGGTGAGGTTCTTTTCTTTAATGGATCAGTCAAAATGTTACTTGAAGTTTTCTTGGACAAGAAGTAACCTCGATATAT